TTATCATATGCAATTAGGTGACTGATAAGAGCCTGCTAAAGTTATCCTTTGAGAGGCTTCCCCCCCCCCCCCCGCTTCCTTTCACCTCTTAGGGAAAAATTGACAGAATAATTCAGGTTTTACCTAAATAGTGAGACCTTTGAAGAACTGACCCTTATTGTGTTTGCCTGCAGGAGGTGATTCACTATTATAAATTCTTCAATGACTGAGCTTCTGGAAATCTCTTTAAATGAAAGTGGAACTGGTTAACTGTATGTACGAACATGTGTTTTCACAGTCTCTCCTGTATTATTGCATTTCAGAAAGCTTCTATAAAGTGCCAGGTGAACTTTTTAAAAATAATGACAATAATAATAAAAAAAGAAGGAGAGTCAAAAAAATTGAGCAAATCTCAGCTATTCAATTCCTGGTTTTATGTTGAAAACGAGGAACAGATGGTACTTTCCATGTTACTTGAATATGGTTATTGAACACCTCTATGGTTACGGGAGATTTTGCTTAGCACTTTTAACATACATTTCATTTATTGGACTATAAAATGCTACTTTGGAAAAACAAGTCTTTATATAGCTATAATTAAAACAGTCTTGCAGCAAAGCCCTTTAACATGGAGAACATGGTTAACCTCATGACATCTGGACAATCAATCCTTTCCTTTTTACTGGGTATTTATGAAGTTATTAAAACTGTAAAATTACCAATGCCCAAAGTGAAATACTTTTCCAGTAGTTCCGAATAAGGTTATCAGCTTGCCTACTTCATTTTATAAATGTTCTAGACCAGCCTCCATTGTGCTACTCTATCTCTTGCTTTGCACAGGAATTCAATAGCAGATCTGGTCATACATATTGGCAGGGGTCAGCAGGTTCACACGGAAAGCTTTCCTCGGCCAAAGGGCAACACCTCTTCACCCAGCTCAAAAAGCACCGTCACACTACTAGACAGCGCTACAGAACTTTAAGAACCTTGAGCTGTGCTTATTGTTAGACACCCATAGTTATCAATGTTTTTAACAGCTAAATCCCTCATGTAGCTTTCAAAACAGTTTGCTGTCAAACAACAATAGACTTTGTTCTTTAATTACAGCAAGTGACCTTCCTGCCCTTTTATTTCACAGTGAATAAACTATACCCAAGGCCAGCGAGAAAAGTACATGAAAAGCATATCTCCATAGCATCATTAATCAAAGCGTGTACTTAAACGATTTGCATCAATAGGTAACGTGCACACAGAGCTTCCTGATGAAGTGCAAACACCCTCCATCCCCCTATTAAAAAAAAAAAAAAACAAAACAAACACGTGAAGATAAAATAAACAATACCAGCCAACATGTTAATTTGCTGAAGACATCTTTCAGATGTGAAATGCTGTCTTAATGAGAAGCAATAAGATAACACAAGAGGAAAATTCAATCCTGGAATATCACTAGATTGATTCATTTAAAAACTGCAACTAGACACCTCTGATTATAGCTTTGTATCTTCTGTATTATTTCCACATAAACATACTGATTTTCACATGCCAAGTATAATTTTCCCATGTCAGAGTAAATTGTGACTGTTTGAATCCCAAAATCTCCCTTCAGCACACACAAAGCAAATTCTTCTAGATACTCTGAACACTTTTCAATGTAACAGCTGTTAAAAATACAAAAAAAAAACCAAAAAAAACCCTTAGCTAAAACAGATGAAGAGTTCATGCTGACAAACAGTCAGTAACTGTGCTAAAAATGGTATGGATGAGAAATGGAAAATGGAGACAGGTTTTAACACCAAAAATCTTAGGAGTGGTTAGCCTACCTGTCAAAGCTACTTATTCAGACATGTCACTGGTGGCTTAACCACAAAATGGGCTGCACAAATATAGCTCAAACATCTTAGAATTACAGCATACTTTGACTTTATCCACATATTAGGGGAGTGGCGACTTTTACAACATACTTGCGGTTTCTGCATAAAAGAACTAGCAGAACACAGTCATTGATTTAATTAGGCTTCATAAGATCCAATTTATCATGTTTTACATGACTTTCTGCAGCAAGGAAATAGAATAAATAGACCAAAAATAGACACTGAAGCATGCTGTGAAAGCTAAACAGTGACTACAACTCCTGGGAATCTGCTCCAAGCTTTTCACAAACAGTAAACAAATGCAATATTATATTCCACACCACATACAAAAATCTGTAGATTTTGAATCAGCAGGCATGAACTCATTTGTATCTATGAGGAAACATCCAAATTCATAAGACATGTCTTTCACAACATTAAGATAACTGGAAATTAATTTTAACATGCAGGCTTGAAAATTATATATTCATCTACAGACACAATGTGCTTTGTGCAAGTACAGCATATGTGCTCTGGTGTATAAACAGTCAAAGCATGAACACGTAACGAATCTAAAACACGTTAAAAAAAAAAAAAAGTCTTTCTAATGATTATTAAACATTTGGGGGGGGGGGAAGCCAGAACAACAAACATAAAAGACTTGAATTTCACTAATAGGACCACAGGCTGGGCTTAAGGTTGCAACCATTGTCAGCAGTGAGCTTTATTATTATTGTACGTCTAGAAGGGAACGTTCTTCGGGAAGAGAAATGCTAAGGGATGCTATTTAAGACAGCAAGCAAGCACACCGTTGTGCCAGACAATGGCCAACACTGCACGACTCTAATGTGCGAAGCCTGCATTGAAGTCGCTGTGTGCCAACAGCAGTGGCTGTTGCTGGAAATGCAAGCCCCAAACCTCCTCCCGGAGCAACAACTACAACACAATGTGCACCACTGGCTCCAAACCGCTCCATACATGTTTGCTCTGAACTTGCACGCCATCCAATTCACATTGCACGTCAGATTACTCGCATGTATATGGATTCTTCATACAATTTCCTGTGTGACTAGCGAGTGAAAAGGACACAAAACCGGGAGAAACCACACCACCCTCTAATCTCGGTTGCCATGACAGCAGCCTTTGAGATACTGAAATGTTCAGATTGCCAGCTAAACAAAATTGTTGAATGTGAACATTTGGCTGAGAGATTAAAAGGCTAAGGGGGTTGCAAAAGGGCAGTACCTCCCACATTCCAGGCAGCCACTGAATCCAATCAAATGGCTCTGACTCTTTAACCACAGCCATTGTGAAGGCCGGATTAGGGCAATTTATCTAGATAGTTAAAACAGATTAGAGAACTGCAATTTGAAGACTATTGGCAACAGAAGTAAACGTCTACTGTACTAAGTTAATAAAGAGACCACGAGATTTTAGGACACCTTTCCGCCGCGAGGACTTTCATAAATCAAAGCACAAGCATATACACATGAATTACAGCGCTCCGGTTTTCTCATCTGCATTTAGGAAAGGTCACAAGACTCATTCAAATTCATCCACAGATATGCTATCTTAAAAGCAAGAATATGCATACAATATGAAATTTAATTTTTTCCTTGCCTTGAACAGAAGCCTTTGAAATTACCTTCAAGTTTTAACAAATACCTGACGTCACAAACACCCAAATCTAATCCTCCGTCGACTCAGATGTTACAAAAACTTCAACACGACCAAAATACAAAAAAGCCGGTAACAGGTTGTAAAAGGACACAACTTTTCCCTGAGACCTTCAGCCCTCCCAGCCACTTGCAGACCATACAGTTAACACTGACCCGAAAGTTTTCCCATCACTGCACATTCACTCAGGGTAGTTGTAAAAGCAGGTAATTTAAGACCAACAGCTGACAGTAAAGTCAGACTCTAACACCCTGAGATTGTTAATTTGGGCGGGTGTTGCTTTGCTTTATTTTTCAGGCAGACCAGGTTATCTTTGTTTAGCAACCTGTAGAATTCAACTGACTCTAATCCTGGCCCAACACTTGCCCGCAGGTCCCCCAGAAGACACCTTCTGCCCTACAGACAGAACAGATCCTGCCAACACCAGAACCTCTGTGAACCAGCGGTTAACAAAAAAAGCCAGGCTCTCCCTCCACCCTTCCCGAAGAATAGAGTCCTGGCCATCTATTCTTAACAGAAAGCATCCTTCATAACGCAACATAAAGGAAGAAAAACACACACCCCCATCTGATTTCTTTCATACATTTCAACCACTCAACAAACGAGTAGTTCACATCCAAGAGCCAGCGGCGCTCAGACAGGAAAGCTTCCCCAGACAGGAGACAAACTGCTCCCCTCTGTTCCCAAAGCTGTTTTGCGCACATGCATCTCGGCACAAGGTGCGTTCCCCTCCTCCCAGGAAGGCAAGAGGCACCGCCTGCCTGCTGGCTCCTTCCTCCCTGTCCTCCACACCAGCTTCTGCGGCCTCTGGGCTGCTCTACCACGGGAGCCCCCAATATGACGAGCATCCCGCATCTCCACGAAGTGCAACGGCGGAGCCTGGGTCTCTGACGATGCCTCCCGCTTTCCCCACTCCCCAAGCACAACCTCAACCCCGGGCAGCAGGGCAGAGGAGAAGGGAGAGGGCTCCCTTTAGGCTTTGGGAGAGGAACAGCTGCAAATGCCCACGGTGATGTAAAAAAGTGTCAGCACATACAAGACCTGCTGGTCCTGGAGTCTGAGCTACGCACCCCCCTAGGCAAATACACAGACCTCCAGCCTGCAAACACATGCCATCATCCCACTGGTACCAACACTGCTGCTCTCTGCTAAAACCAGGGACAGCTCGGTCAGGGTCATCTCAGGGTTCCTCCTTCTGGGTGAGTGCGACCGAAAGGAACAGACAAAACAGAAACGTTCTCCAGGTCTGAGGACAGGGAGGGGAAATCATAAGGAAGAGCAGCACACTCAAAACATGGTGTCTTCTCTCTAGGGAATAGGTCTCGGGGTTGTTTTGTTGGGTTGTTTTGGTTTTTTGTAAGAGGAAGAACAGATGCATGTCACAAATAACACAGCAGAGAGAAGGACACAGGAGCCAAACACACAGTTGTGGGACATTTATTATAGACACAGGGAGACACAGAAGAGAAGAGGTGGAGAGGAGCTTTGTCCTACCTTTTCTGTTTTCAATTTCTTGATTCGCCTGTGGCTCTCCTCCTCCTCCTCTTCCTTCTTTACCAAAATAGAGTTTCCCATTAACCCTGAATCCGGGGTACTTTTGCTCACCTCCCCCACGGCAGAGGAGGTGCAATGGAAGGGGCTGCTGCTTCCACCACTGCCTCCCTTGGCCCCAAAGCCATAGAGGTGCCCAGGGGGAGCTTGGCTGCTGCCAGCCCCGCTGCCGTTGGGGTGGCCCTGCTGCAGGTCGTGCTGCTTGTCCTTCCTGGATTTTCCCGCATCCTTATCCCGCTTGGAGCCTCTGCTGCCTGGTGCTTTACCTGGTTTCTCCTCTTTGTTTTTCCCACAAGAGGCAATGGTGGTGGTGTTGCTGGTGGTGTTATTATTGCCATTTGGGTTACTGCTCACGCTTTGACCCAGTGCTGAATTCATGCCAGTTGCCTCTCCAGGGCGCCCTTGGACTTCCTGCCTCTTGCCAGCACTGCTGATCTCAGGAATCCCATACAAGGCAGCAGAAGGCAGAGATTTATTAGCATCCTTAGAAGTTTTACTCCTTTTCACTTTTGATTTGCTAGTCTCTTTGTGAGAGGAATTCCCCTGGGGAGCAGAGTGCTGAACAGAAGCAAATTTTAGGCCATCAGCTAAGGCTGAGGTAGCATTAGCCCCACTGGAAGCCAGACCCCCGCAATCCTTGGAGCTGGTGTTGCTGCTGCTGGTGGTATTAGTAGAATTATTCATCTCAAATTTCTGTCTGTCCTTCTCCAAATCGGCGTCCAAATCGATTATTAAATTCCCAACACCGATTTCCCAATCATCGCCACTGTCGTAAGTGTCAACCGCGTTTGGATCCACACCTTTTCCTGCAGTGGAAGTGTTCAATGACATCCTGAAGATGAGATCTCTAGAGTAAAAATCCGATGAACTTTCCTTTGGAGATGTGGGGACATTCGTTTATCTCCGTTGGGCTCTCTTAAGTTCAACTCTTCTTGTCTTCCTCCCTCTGGTGCATCTAGGTTCACAACCTGCAGTCCACGTCCACCTTGTCCTGTGAGGAAGGGAAAAGTTGAATATTTCTTGTCTGGGTGTTGCCAGAATATAATACGACTAATCAAAACGGGGGCAAGGTAGGGGGAGCAAAATCATTCACAGTTACCACGTTTTTTTCTTAAGTTTGTTAAACCAGAGGCAATGGCCGTGATGCTTTCATAGTGAGCATCTTTAATCTAGTTGTAGACCAACATCCACAATGTCCCTTAAAAAGTCACGTCCACAAAAAAAAAAAAAAAAAAAAAGGAAAAAATTAACTACATTATTTAAATCCACAAAGCTCAGGAAATACAGTCTTAGAAGTGGTGCCTAGCTGTTGGAGCACATGTTGTAATCTAACCCCTTGGACCACCACCTAGGCACGAAAGGGAGAAAAGAAAGGACACAGATTCACTCTTCACTGCATTCCACGGATTTTGTGGCTTTAAACCAGACCCTGGAAGTTTTGTGACTCTCCTATATTATCTTTTACCCCCCTTCCACTTAATCTTTTTTGGGGGGAGAGGGAGCACTAAGGGAAGTGGGAAACCTAATTTTCCTTGCCACAATACAGCTTCTGTTAAAAACCAACAACCTACAAACACAAATGTTTACTGGAAAATATTAAAATCCATAGGTTAAAAAAAAAAAAAAAAGAAAAGAAATAAAAAGGTCTTTTTTCTTAAAAAAAAAAAATTCTCAAGATAGCAGTTCTAAAAGCAGTTCTAATGTACTCCTAGGTCACACAATTGTTAGGTCTGTTAAATATAGTATTACTGACTGTACAGGAAACTGATTAAGACATACACTTTAAGTGATCTGCACCAAGGTGGCCTCAGTGACCGCAAATGAGTGTGTGTTTGACAAAGCTTAGTTAAAACGATTTTTAAAGGGATCTCTCCCTTTTACAGTCGACTGTCGAAATATTTATACATATATATATATGCATAATGCTTACCTTTAATCCTTTATCATTTTTTAATTAACCCAGCAAATCAAAATTCTGTTCCCACTCGTCTCAGCAACAACTCTGTGCCTCATTTTACTTAAAGAGCAAGTGATCAAGAAGTAGAAAGCAAGTATCATCTCAGCCAGTATAAATCGGTCAATAACATATCTCCCCCTACTTTGGCACACGGATCAGAAGTCCTTTTTTTGTTTGTTTAGGATTTTTTTCCTCCTTGCTTTAAAGAAAAAAAAATTTAAAAAAAATGCTGAGCTTCACAACTTTACCAGCTGGTAGGTAATATTTCACATTCAGAACTGAAGCATCAAGGACCAGATTTTTGTTTGTTTGCTTTTCCTGAATAAGCACCGAGAGGTAATAATCATCACAGTAATTAAAAAAAAAAAAAAATGTTCCCCCAACTTCACACTCCGTCTTCAGCCCCGGACCTGGGAGCCATCCTGATCAGTAAGTAATGATCCCATGAAACAAACCTACAGGCGCCCGGGTGTTACAAGACAGAATGTGCTAACATCGGGATAAATTAGTGAAA